GTGAAGTGCTTCTAAAAGGCACATGTCATGTTTTATCACATGGGAAAAGTGTTAGTTTTCGATAAAGCGTATTAGAAATTGAATTTTGAGGTGATACAATTAGTAACAAGCGCCCTAGTATTGACATAGTTCTACCAAAAAGCTGTTGATTTTGGCTAATCGGAGTCCAGATGACCAAGGACATCATCTGGCTCGAATATATAGGCTATTCGTTTAGAGCTGAGAAATAATTTTCTCCACATCACTGTGTCAGGCCCAGATTGAGGACTACTTACATGTCCGAATACCTGACGTCGCCCTCCCATTATAACCATGTCAAACTTCGCACATCCAGAACTGGCCGATACGATCGCTCCTTTCTTCTTAAGGTATCGAGATTTCAGAACAATAACAATCAGATTCACTAACCTTAGGCAGCTTAAACATCAGAATAACAAAGTGTCTTTACGCTTATTATAGCATCCGCGCTCCTTTGATATTAAGGCTTCTGAATACGCGTAAAAAAAATTATCCAGCAATTATTTGCTATATAGAACCTAATTTGGCTCCAACAAAAGAGAATATTCCGATCAAAAGCAAGTTTTTTTTTGGAACATCCGATGACCTGATTTTAAAGGCACATTCACCATATTTTTAATGCACAATGGCTCCATATTAAGGGGACCTTCACCAAAATTTTAACTATTTGAATTCCGTAAGATATCGACCAATAATGTTTTTGGCAAGTGTTTACTACCTCCTCCTGCTAATTCGAGGCTTCAATCTACCTCCACGCAACCCTTCTCCTACCCAAATTTGCGTATCCTTTTTCTTCCCACGCCTACTGGCGACGAAATTTTGTAATTGCGAAAATTTTCTTAAATGAGGTATTGCATTTTTTGGTACATAACAAAAAACCATGTCACTCATTTTTGTTTGTCGGTCTACCTGTCGGCCTTGATGGGCGCACACCTTAAAGTTTCTTACGATCCCATCTACTATTCCTTCCAGGTTCATGTTCCCATATGAAGGGTAGAGGGCAAAAAAAGTCTCAAATTTGGTGTTTTGTAGTTAGACCCGGCAGTACAATCCCACGCGAAAACAATGACAGTTCGTAGTTATCACCAATTGAAACCTTGCTGTGCAGAGAAAAAAAGATGAATGTCATAGCCGTTGTATGAAAAACAAAAATTAACGTCCACTGATCGTCACCGAAACTAGTAGTTTTTTTGGTTTCTGTCCCAGTTAAAAAAATTACTTAGGAATAATTCTGTGTTTGAGTTATTGAGGTTAGAACGTCAGATTTTTCTCATGTCCTAGTCTCTGGGTGATAAGTTTCCTGTTAAGGTGGCTCTCATATTAGAGCAGACGGAAAACCTAAAAGACGCATTTTGGTGGTTAATCAACTGTTTTTACGTGGTGTCGTATATGACAAAATAATATAATATAAAAAATATAACCTCAATATCTCAAAAAAGTTGCTTTCAGGCATGGACGATAACACATAAAAAATCTTTAACATCATAAAGAGAATCTCAAAATACAAAAAGAAGAAGGACCTTCTTTTAAAAAATGTTTGGTCTGCTTTCACTTTTGGGCTACCCGGTATTAATTATAATTTAACTTTTTTTGCAATCTCATATAATAAGGAATCTAAGGTACTCCTTTAGATCTTTGACCCACGCTATACAACGAGTCTAGAAGTCTTCAAACTTTTAAATTCACTTCCCCCGAAACACACTTTTTGTAACATTTTTTTTTCTCTGCACCCTCCATATCATGTTTACGATGTCGATAAGCAATCTCGAAACATCACACGACGTAATCTAATTACACAAACAACATATCATCCATATTTATGTTTTTGTAGATAATCAGAATAAGCTAGCTTAACTTTATGGAGGTGAGGAAATAAGTCGAGATCCATAAGACATACCACAATCTATCTGTTCTTTTCGACATTGAATCCGAATCTGGGAAAAATTTCTGGACGTCTGTAATTCACCTCCATCGTCTGTTGCCACATGTTGGAGCATGGTATTTCAATGTATTTCTTGACACTGAATCCAAATTTGTGGTCGAAAAGAGCTATGAACCCTTAGAGTTTACCTCTGGACCCAAAAACTACCTGGTGGAAATTTGGTTTCGAATGCCAGATGCCCAACCACGATTATTCTATCTATTCTTCAACGCTAAATTGATCCAATTCATCTTCGTGAGATGTCTGATGTACGAGGGCCGTTTGGTAAGTCAGTGACTTTTGTATTTCCCGCGCAGTAACTTTGAATGCAACACTGCTGCCGTCAACTGCCATCTTTTATATGACTACTGTCAAAATTTGAACAAGCTATGTCATTTCATTTGAGTTTGACAGCCGTTGAAAGTAGACAGTCTCATGAATTCAACAAAAATGGAGAAACTTCGTGTTCTAATTAAACATTATTTTCTGCGTGAAAAAACCATCACTGCAACCAAGGAAAGCCATGCACGGGTACACGAGGGCAAAAATTCATGAACTGGGCTACGAACTGCTGCCCCATCCAGCCTATTCTCCAGATTTACCCCCCAGTGACTACTTCCTCGAAGAGGTCATCAATGAAACAAACGCATATTTTGGGAGCCTCGATGAAAACTACTATTCGGAAGGAATTAAGAAATTTAAAAAGTCACTGACTTATCAAACAGCCCTCGTATTTTTTACCTGATGAATGCTATATTGCGATGATTTTTGACAAAATCGGTTTTAGTTAATAGATTTTTTCACTCACTATCACATCCCTAGAAGCTTATCACAATATTTATACTTCAAGGATACGTTATTTATGTATACCTTTTAAAACTCTTAACCAGCGATGTTGGATGATTAAGTTAATAATTTTTCTCGACCTAGAAATGCGAACGTACTAATTTAGATTTTCATGCAGTCGAGATATGTTCAAAATCGATACAATTGCATATTGCATGTAATCACCTATATGCATATTTATTTTATCAAAATTGCGCTACAATTTCCAATATTTTAGATTCATTTCAAATTACGTCAGTTTAAAATACTTAAATCAAATTAAAGTAGAATATTTTATTTAATATGTTGTTTATTATGGAATATGTACATTATACATATACATGTGAAAATAAAAGAAAAAGTCCTACCTGATATACAGGGTGGCCCATCCATGTGTGAACGAAATATTACTCATAAACAAATACATTTTGGGAAAATCTGTTTATGGCATGTTATACATGACAGTTGAGGGCACATTTCTAAAATATTGGCCATTATACAAGGTGCCCCAATTTCGAGCTACATATCAAAGTTGTGATTTTTCAAATAGAATGCATCAAATTTTATTGCATACTTAGATAAACCTATTTTGAAATTTGGAGTGCTGAATGTTGCATCAAAAAAAAACTTACACATCTCAGATTTTATGTAATTTATTACTTTTTCGAATTTTAATTTTTGCTCATACAGGGTGGTCAAAAACGCAAATTGTAGTTTTTCTCACAAATTTCAAATGTACCACCCTGTATATTTGTGCAAGTTTGGATTCAATTTTTTATAAGCTTTTTTTTTGATACTATAGGGGTTTTTACGGGTATTTTTTCGGTTATTAGCATGTCTTTTATGGAACGGCTTAATTTTCTAAAATATCTCATCATCCTGGGAAACAAATAAATGTTTGATTAGTTACAAACTGTCAAAATTAGCTTTGTGGGCATTATAATAAAAACGTGTTTGAAAAGGAATTTTTCTAAAGAAGAAATGGTGAAATGGTGCTCGATTTGGGCGAAGCTCAAAGAAATATTTTCCTAGTGTCTCGCATTTATAACCAACGGTACCTTAATATGCGACATCCAAGGCCGGAAATATTTTCCACACTACGAGAACGTTTTGAATCATGTGGAGCAGTGGAATATAGTAAAAAATGTATAAATCATCCGTGTCACCAATGAGGCTAATCAGTTGGAGGTTCTATTAAAGTTGCAGGAAGATCCCCATTTAAGTGCACGGCAAATTGGAGCAGAAACTGATATATGCAGAACTTCTGTCCAAAAGATTATTCACAAGCATAGGTACCATCCATATCACCTATTCTTGTATCAAGGCCTTCGTCCTCAGGATTTTGGAGCTCGAATGGAGTTTAGTAGAATAATGCTAAATAAAGTGTGTGAAGACACTACTTTCCTGGATAAGGTTCTTTTTAGCGATGAGCATTAGTTTTTATGTCAAATCTTTACTCCTAGTGGCAATATGGAACTAGCCCAGTGTTTGTCTTTTGGTTCCAAGGATGATGTGATTTTTCCCTTAATTTTGATGTGTTGTTCTATTAAAAGCTTAATAACTCAAAATCTAGTGATTTTATGTGAATCAAACCTTATACAAAAAAAGCTTATAACAAATGGAATCCAAACTTGCACAAATATACAGGGTGATGCATTTGAAATTTTTGAGAAAAGGTACAATTAGCGTTTTTGACCACCCTGTATGAGCAAAAAGGAAAATCGAAAAAGTAGCAAATAATAGAAAAGCTGAGGTGTGTAAGTTGTTTTTGATACAAAATTCAGCACTCCATATTTCAAAATGGCGGATTGAGGGGTTGCCGAAGTGGACAGTTTTTCTGGACAAAACACCTTACATCTCAGTATCTACTAACCAAACATCCATAGTATGCTATATCAATCTTCATATTTTGAATTAGTTTATCCAAATATGCAATAAAATTTGAGGCATTCATTTAAAAAGTCAGAACTTTGATATGTAGGTCAAAATTGGGACACCCTGTATAATTTCCAATATTTCAGAAATGTGGCCTCCAAGGTCATGTATAACATGCCATAAATAGATTTTCCCAAAATGTATTTGCTTATGAGTAATATTCCGTCCACGCATGGATGGGCCACCGTGTATTTATTAAACCTAGGCACTCGAAATGTTGCATGCTGAACTTCCACATGTAGTGTATAATTTGCCCTCAGTCCAAAATGTCAAACTTAGATAACAAAAACATGTTTCTTACCTATATGTGAATGCCAAAAATGCGTCCCAACCTGTTCAGCCTTAAAGGTATACCTAAAGGTATCATGAGGCAGAATTGGGCACTGCGTTATGTATGGGACGCCATCCATATATGGCGAACTTCTTTGATGTTGACCATGCCAATGAATGGTTGTCCCTTCGCTCATCAGCTTGTTTGTGACGTCGACTATTATTACGTCATTATGGCACACCTGAAAGAAAATTAGTGCTATTCTTGGCGGCAAAAAGAATAAAGAAAATGGAAAAAGGGCAAGGAATAGGGAAGACAAGAAAGAAACAAGTAAGACGTAAGGAGAAAGAGGAAATGAAGAAGTAGAAAGAATGGAGAAAATGAAAGAAGATGTAAAAAAGGGAATAGGAAGAGGAAAGACAGGAGGAATAATGAATCAACGAGGAGGAAAGGAAAGAAAAATAAAGTCAAAAGAAGGAAGAGATATAAGAGAGGAAACGAAAAGGGAAAATAGGGGTACGAGAGGGCTGTGAGGAGGAGTAAATGGAAAACAGGAAAGGAGAGAATATGTAGAAACGAAGAAAGAGGCGCAGAAGGGAGAAAGACGATAATAAGAAGAACAGAATAGAAAAAGAAAGGAAGAAACGAACACAAAAGAGGAAAGATGATCCAGAGAGGATGAAAAAAGGGGGAATGAAAAAGGAGAAAGAAGGAAGAAAAAAGAGAGGAAGAAACGAGCAGAAAAAAGGAACGATGAAACGAGCAAAAAAGGAAGGATGAAGTAGAGAGGAGGAAGAAAAAGGAAAAGATGAAAAAAAGAAATAAACAAAATGTCGTCCAGTAGATTTGGCTATGTGTTTTCAACGCCATCAGTTCATCACAGATTATGTTTAGTGCAAGTCCACTTGATGACTATTGAAGATACCTCATCGATCGAAACCTCCTGTAACTCAAATTTTGAGAAGAGAATAAAAGAGGTATATGAAAGGCGGAGGAAAAGCACAGAAGGGAAAATGATGAAGATATAGTATAAATGGTAGAATAAATAAAAAAAAAACGATGAACGATGAGCGAACAAGGAAGAAATAGGAAGATGAAAGACTGAATAAGAAGGAAGACGAGTGACGAAAAAAGGAACATAAAAAACGGAAGAGGAAGAATGAAGGAAGGGTAAAGAGAAAAGAAGAAAAAAGAATGTGAATAGAGGAAAAAACTTACCTGTACTGGAGGTCCCGGGATCATCCTATTAACAGTGACAATAGACCTCTTATTGCCATCTCCAGGTACGCAGTCTTTCCGGAAGCAGTCTTCAACGTTGTAGGGACAATCATAGCAAGCTTTGCTGAGTGTATGGTACCACTCGACTTCGAAGTAATACCGACATATCATAGGCGGTGCTCCTAGAACGCAGGTACGAGCACAAGGGTGCGGAGAGTCTAGCAGGACGTACTCGATGTAAGAGTGGGGAGTGCTTGAGACATTTGGGTTGATTTCTGGAAAAAATGAATCTTCAATTTTCAAATGACATGCTAATTTTCTCATATTCCAATGTAACTTCTTTAAGTAATTCAGAGATTGTTGTTTCCATGAAAGGTATTTCTAAAGCATTGGGAAAACAGTTGGGGGTCGTTTAACAATTTAACTATTTTGTCTTAGGCGAAGCAGAACGACACTGCTAGTGATTTCCAGCTGGACGAACTGTGTTTGCATTTAGAGACAAAACTACAACCAACAACGTGAAATGTAATAGCGTCGTAGTGGGAGACCGGCCAAAAGTGTCTGAGGTTAAACGGACGCCACGTGACAAGATGCGTGATGCCTTAAAAGTGATCCTCGTAATATACTGGTGTCCATAAAACTGATACGTCATTTTGAAAGTATAGTAGTTTTGATGACGTATTCATAATCAGAATCGGATATGAGTTCGCAGATCACATACCTTTTTGGTATTCACCCGTTCTCTCAAAAGCCGGCTCTAGTCTAGAATCAGCGTTGAAACAACACTGTTTTCTTCATTTAAAAAATATAGTACTGACGATTAGTAAATTTAAAGGTACCTTACAAAGTTTGATCTATTCTTTTCGATTCTGTATTATGCCATTTCATACGCTTGCTATTGAACAAATCAGCCTATGTTAAATTTAAAACTTTGTCGATATTGTCTTTCATTTCGTCTGTCTTTATTTAAGAAAATGCGTAATTAGTAACCTCTGAACAATTTAAAGTATGTCCTTTAGCGCTTGATGTGTCTCGAAATAATAGAGTGATCATAAGGGTGATTGCAAAATTTCGCTTTTATAACTCATATTCTTTAAACCTGGAAGCTTACCATTATCTGCATTGGAGTATATCACATTCGATGTGCCTTCTCTGAACAGCAGTGGTAGCAACAGTGCTAAGTACATGTCATCTGAAAAGATATGTTTCTATTAACCACATAATACAAATAATAGATAATAATGTCGCCGAGAATCCTTTTCCACTTCCGATGCCTACTTGCAACAAAGTGATGTAATCATATGACATGTACATCAAGAAAAACTGTCACTCATTTCCGTCGGTCTGTTTGTCTGTTTCTGTCTGTCTTTCCGCTAATCCTTGGCCGGTGTATAACTTGGAGGGTACCGATGGGATTTTGAAGAAACTTTCAAGCAAGGTTACTACTATGACAAGGACGGATAAGTTTTAGAAATCGGTCCAGTAACTGCGGAGAAAAAGGAGAAAAATGAAAGAAAGAAAAGTCGCTCAAATATTATCTGTTAACGCTAATTTTAGAAAAAACTATAGGGGCGAAAAATTGGAAGGTGAGTGGTTGTATGGAGGTGGGGGAGGAGTTATCACAATTTTTTTAATTTTAGTTTGTTAACACGGTCCCGGTAGACGTATTGGTAAGTGTTCTGGCCTTACTTGCACGTCTGAGAAGTTAGGTATCAGGGCAAGCGACGTTGCCAGATTGACTACAGGGAAGGGAAAGAATGTCTATGTACTATTTGAGTGGCCTGTTTGATTGACAAAATCCGTTGCTGCTATGCATGTTCGTAACTAACTTTTTTCTCAGGGGGTCTAACTTGTGCTGAACACAAATATACTAAGTGACATATAAATCCGAACACCCAGTTTAAATGGTTTTATTTTAATAAAAGTTGGTGAATGTATTTATCTTACTGTAAATAACAAGTGAAAAAATTTTCAGCATTATCAGTTGGACATTCCGGTTTTTATACTGCTTTTTTTTAATTCACTAACGCTCTAAAAATGAATATTTCAGCCGCAGTAAAGAATCAACGTTGGCGGATTTTGGTTCTTGACATCCTTTACGATCGGTTACGATGCCTAGAGTACGATTTCGTCAACTTAGTGAGTTTGATAGGGGCCGTATAGTGGGACTTCGGGAAGCTGGACTTTCTTTTCGGGAAATTGCAGTTAGAGTGTAAAGAAGTGTAGACACTGTGGTTAGGTGTTGTCAGACAACAGACTGTGAAGATCGCCGCCTAAGATTATTGTCCTTAAGGGACCGTTTCTCCACTACCAGGTCCATTGCAAATGAATGGTTTGCAGAACACAGAAGACCTATTGGCATGCGAAGTGTTTACCGACGAATGAGAAGTTTTGGCTTGTTTTCATACCGGCCACACTGGGTCCTCCCTTTAACTCGAGAACACCGACGTAATCGCCTTGAGTGGTGCAGACAACGGTCACTCTGGTATCAGGAATGGAACAGTATTGTCTTTAGTGACGAGTCTCGATTTTGTTTAGGCATGCACGATGGTCGTGCCAGGGTTAGAAGGCGATGTGGTGAAAGGAGGAATCCACAGTTTTTTGTTGAAAGACATGTTCATCACACTGTTGGAGTTATGGTTTGGGGTGCTATAGCTTATGGTTCCAGGTCACCTTTAATCTTCATCAGAGGTAACATGAACGCGCAGCGTTATATCCACGAAGTTCTAGAACCCCATCTTTTACCCTTGGCAGATGACACCCTGGCAGATCCAACTTTCCAACAAGATAATGCCCGACCATATGTTGCAAGAGTCACAATAGACTTCTTTCAACATAATGATGTCACATTGTTACCATGGCCACCAAGATCTCCCGACTTATCCCCAATTGAGCACGTGTGGGATATGATGGGTAGGAGATTGTTCAATTTGCAACGTCCTCCTCAGACTCTAGAAGCACTTCGAGAGGAGTTGGTGGTTGCCTGGAATGAGATACCACAGGAGGACATTGACCACCTGATCAGAAGCATGCCTAGGCGCGTTGGAGAATGCTTAGCACATCAGGGTGCATCCACACATTATTAAAGGTCAAAGGGCTTTAAAGCAGTGCAATCATTTTGAAATTTTTATCATTTACTTATTATGCTTCATTAAGTACTTATACAAAATTTTATTAAAATAAAACCATTTAAACTGGGTGTTCGGATTTATATGTCACTTAGTATACATATTTATGAATTGATGTGTGAAAAGTGAAGAGTTGACATACTTGACTCGATTTTTTCCCTGAGAGCAAGGCGCAATCTGCTTGTATTGACAACAAGCATGTTTTTCGTTACATTGCGTATCAAGATCTTGGTTTGCCCTATCGCGAAATTGACCGCCGTATTAATTGTACTGCAATGACGGTAGTGCATGTGTGTCGTGTGTGGATAGAAGAAGGTAGAGGAACACGAAGAAGGCCAACTGGTCCACCGAGGCGTAACGCAGAGCGTCAAGATGGGCGCTTCAGATGACTAGCCCTTCGAGAACGTTTTGCTACTAGGCGTCAGATCGCTGACCAATGGTTTGGAGAAGAAGGAGACCTGTTACTAAGCGTACACGCTATCGCGGCATTCGAGCCTGTGAGCTTTTTTTCATACCGTGTGTGCTAGTGCTTCGTCAGACTGCGGACGACTGTCATCTTCAGGCTAATAAAGCTGGATTTTCATCTGTTTTATCAGCTCGAAATTTTTTAAGGTTTTAGATAATAGGAGAGCGCTGACACGGAATAGTAGACATCTAGAAATACCCCAAGCTTTCTGAAAAAGAGAAAAAACCGTGGAAATCAAGGAGGCTTACAATTATAGGAACGACTGACGATACGGCCCTTAGACTAAATAATTTTTAATCGCTCACTAAGGATCTTGCTTTCCGTGGTTGTAACTCAATTTTATAGCATCCCATTCGCTTGTTTTTTTTCGCTATTGGTTACCTGCTTTCAACAAAAGAAATTGTTTTTCTTCCTTGGTCACGTCAATACACCTCGACGATGTTTTTTGTATTAAAAATAAGGCTTCAACCGGCTATTCGACATTCGTCGTCTTTTCCATTCACAATAGGAATCCCAACGCAGAAATACGTTACCATTACCAAGGGCAGAGGGTATAGGGAATGTGGAAAGTTTCAGTAAGTTTATTTTGATAAGTGTTCAAAGTATAGCCTGTTAGGGTTTGCCAAATCTACAATTAGTTTCTAATTCTGTACCTCAGAGCCAAATAAGTAGTTTTGAGATAATTCTATTTGAAATATTTTTCTTCCATTGTATTGTATGCGACTTGACATGAGTTAAAAAGTCGTAACTTCCTTAGATAGATAGTCGCTGCATGTAGCCAATTAAAATTCACAATATTATCATAAGCTTAACATATTAAACTCATGTTTGAGAAAAATAGACTTAACCTAGTCTGGCTCTGAGGTACAGTATTTAAGACGGAAACTACGAGCCCCTTCCCACTTCAGTTGGCCCACTTCAAGATTTGTACCAAAATATGCCTTTTATAAACTAAACATGACGAAACTATGTACTTCTAAAACAATTTATTTTCTCAAAAACATTTTAGATACACTCTAGTCGTACAAAATACATATTTTAAATCACTTAGACCTATAACTGAACAAATAAACAATGTGCGAATAAATGCGCGAAGTTAACAAAGCAACAATTGAAAGATTACCATTGGGTAAGATCACCTTTATTTTTTATTACGGCTGAAATTCTTTGCCGCTCAAGTTGAAGTTTTGGGTCATTTTGGAATAAATCCTAATTGAACAATATATCTACATACCGCGTATTAAATAAATGCTGGGTTTCGCTGCTTACGTATAAATCTGATTCAATCTGAATATAAAACGTACATTTCTGTTTCTGCTGAAGCCGTTCCAAATTGGGTCATTCATATTTATTATGTTGAGTGTTACGAAACATTACAGCAGTTTGCGAATGCAGGCTATACTGTTATCAATAAATAGATAAAGGAAAAATCCATCGACATATGGTATGCGTACATGGGTGTTATGGGGCAATATTCGAAGACTTGCGTATACTGTAGAAAGAGGCAGGCGTGAAAAAAGTGAAACGAAGTCAAGTTGATTGACTAGTTGATTCGTATGCGTTAAAGCGGCTCCGACGCAGTGAGTTTCAAGCCATTTACAAGGGTTCAGCTGCTTCGAAACTGACACTCCATTTTTCAATATTTTCGAATGAAATTCATACAGTATGTTCAGAAGATAATTGCCCAGGGTGCTATAGGATCACTTTTTGAAATTTTGTTTTTGCACAAGTTTTATGATGGGTTGAAGTGCGCACTTTTTCTGTTCAACTTCGCGATTTTTTTAAAAAGAATCTAGTGAAAAAAATGAAAAAGTGGCTCTATAGCACCCTGTGGGGTTTTGTTTTCAGCACACTATGAAAATTTTGTTCAAAAATATCAAAAAATAAAGCGTTAACTTTGAAGCGCGCAAACCTCTACAAATCGTATTTTGGACGATTTTTGTCTACTGTTTCCTGCTGCCAACCCAAGCGTTGCGGCGCAATGTACGGACTAAGAAAGGACGTATTCAGATAATTTGGTGGCCGTAATTCATATAATATCGCATAGATAAGTCGTTATGCAAATAGGTATTCATAATCGCGATCGCTGATACTCCTTTAACAATACGGACGCGTTGTTAATTAATTAAGTCTATGTCAGGCTGCTGTGATTTTTTGACGATTAGATATACATGATTATAAATTTCCATGTCATATTTTTATTATAACGGCATTATAACACAAAAGCAATACAAACGCTCGGTAAATGTTTCTTTTTTTAAATATGTGTAGGGACCATAAGAACAAGGAATGCCTAATTGCCCATATTTGAAATTTATCTCGCAAATGCAATTTCATATTATCCACGTGAAATTCCTGTGCAGCCGATAACTCCTTACCAAAGTATGTCATTGCCGTCCGTGAACATGTTAATTAGCAATTAACGCTATGATACCAAGTTGTTCTATATGGCTTTAATGGATATATCGATGTGGTTTTTTCAACATGTTATAAGCAGGTATATCGGAAGAATACTCAATTATTATTTAAAATGAGTACCTGCACTTCAAGGTGCTTTCAATGTCGAAGCAGTACTGTAGTACCTTGGTATCGAGGCTG